ATCGTAGTGATCTGGTGTTGGAGGGTGTTCACGGGACATTGTTAGCAACTGTTAGTTCTTAAGCATACTACATGCATGAGTATACAAAATCAACAAACAAGCACCACAAACACACACCAAAGGTAGGCACATGAGGGGGGGGTAGCATATAAATATAAATAAGTGAATATAAATATAAATAAATAAATAAATATATATATATATATATATTGGTGAACTACAAAGCCCTCAGATCTTCCGGGTCAGTGGGCCCCCCCATGGTCCCCGCCCCCCATGGTGTGAGCCCGGAATCTCCGTGACAGCGGCCACTTCTGAGGGATCTTGCATCGCGGCGACATCTCAATGGGTCAGTTAAGGTTCAATTACCGAAAACCGTTGCTCTTCTTTCCGGATTTTTTGCTGCTATTATTGCGACCTCTCAGTAGCGCTAGCAGCTACAGCGATGGTAATGTTTCATTTCTCGTAGCTGTTGAACATGTCGAGAGGGGCAAGCTGAAGGAAGAAAACCTGCCCAAGGGCAATTATTCCCTTCACCCAAACCAGAACCCACCCACCCACCACACAGGGTTTAGGGTACAGGGGGAGAGAGGGTATCACAGCCTGCTGGGGGAGAACTGCCCACGCCCACATGCAGGCAAGGGCATTTATCAACCCAAACCCCAAGCCACCGTGACTTGGCGTCGCTGCACCACGTGTATGGTAACATGGCTGTAAATCTAAATGATAGATGGATAGATGGGTAGATGGATAGATGGATGGATAGATAGATAAACAGACAGACAGACAGACAGACAGACAGACAGACAGACAGACAGACAGACAGACAGACAGACAGATACATAGATAGATAGAGAATAGATGCTTCTGATCTCCAGTACGCCCGTTATTTAAGGGCTCTGGTGCCTCTTGGGGTACCGAAAACGACCTAAAACCATAAAGAAGGAGGAATACCCAAAGTGCCCTGAAGCAGAATGCAATCAGGTCATGCAAGCCTCCAGCGACACATCAAGCTCACCGCCGGTGAGATCCTGCATCGACCCATGAACCCTGAACTTCCGTGATTTAGGGGTTTAGGGTTCAGGATGTAGGGGTTTAGGGTTAGGGTTTATAGGGGTTTAGTAGGCTTTAGGGTTGGTCCAACTGCCGGGATAAAGCCCTGCATTCAAGGTTCAGGGAGCTCCTGCAGAGCCATGTTTTTGCTTTCCAAGGCTCCAAGTATGCAAATGATAGCCACTTTGGAGTTTTTAAAGTCTATAGATAATACCTGCTTTGGGCTACTTAAAACCTCATGGTGTCTCGTCAGAGTAGGGCTTGTTTGGAAACGCTTGGGCGCTTGGGGCTCAGAGGATCTCCCAAGCAAAGAAACAGCCGAAACCTCCGTCCCAATCTGACTACAAAACCCTTAGGGTTTAGGGTTTAGGGTTTAGGGTGCCACAGGGCCCCATCCCAACTTGCCTCATCCAGGGTGCCAGCCAAAGTCAGCGTGAAGGGCGTCGATCGGGAGATTGGATCCGGATTCAAGTCGATGCTGACCTGCTAGGCTATTCGCGGGCGATTTGCCACTCAAGGTGTAGTGCTGTGCCTGGGATTGAGATGCCTCGAGGAAGGCCACAGCAAGGTGTCAAAATAGCAGAATCTTTCGGGACCCAAGTAAACTAAGCAAACCCTAAACCCTAAACACGACTAACGCCAAACCTTTGTAGCTCCCGGCCCCAAAAAATCCCTGAAGGCCCAAGAACTGAACCCTGAGAGTCTTAAACCGTGACCAGGGCTTGTCCCGAAAACTTATGAGATTATATGCCCTGCCACAGAACTCACCCACCCGAGTAGCCTAATGTAGGGGCCTTAATAATTAGACCAGCGTTTGGGGGTTTATTATACTGAAATTTTGAACAAGGAGTCCCCAAAATACGATAGGTAATTTTTCAGGCCCTTAAATAGTAGCCAAAAGCAGAGACCTTATGAATGACACTGGGCGGCACACATCTGAGAGGTGGTCGTGGGCACCACCGCAGTTCGTGACCTCTGCTCGGCTGTTCAGAACACAAGCTTTTGGAGTAATTTGCAGGGCTGACTGGGACTGCCTTACTGTGTGGTGCAGCTTTAGAAAAGGAAATATTTCAGGCAAGTTTAAGCCTAAAAAACAATTTTCAACTTGCTGTGGTGCTATACGGCGGCGAGATTCTTGGCTTGTAGCAAACAGTTTCATAGGTTTCACACGGCTCGAAGCACTCAGGTTACTTCGGCTTGAGAAAACACTAGTATCAAACTCTAGGAAGCCTTGTTCTGGCGCACGTGCTCCCGAACTTACTGACTCATTCCTCGCGGAACGCGCCCAGTTTGACCATGGATCTATAAGCCTATTTTGGTTGTGGATCCATAAGTCTATGTTGAACCTTACACAGAGACACACACGCACACACGTGTACCTACTTGTGTAGTACGTACACCAATGACCGTCTTGACCATGTTGAAAGATAACCCGGCAGGTAAGACACCACGATATCGGAAGAAACTGCAAACGCTGGAAGCAAGAATATTGGGTAGTTCTCTAAATTGGGGCCCCTTGTAGGTCCCCAATAAAGTACGGCACCCTTATGAAAAGGGCCCTAAAAGGGAGCCTAACTTGGAGACCTGCCCATATACAGAGTTTGCCACAGCTGTCACTACAGTCAGCACCTTCTGTTTTGAACAGCCAGGGGACCTCTTAGGTTTGGATGTAGTCATACGTACAAGACTCCTACAAAACCCAAAACGGAAGGTCATTACCCTTCAACCCTCAACCCTGAATTTCAGAACCCTGAACCCTCAACCCAAAATTCCTGAACCCTCAACCCTAAATTCCTAAACTCTGAAGCCATTTCAACTCTGGAAAGCTGCACCCGACTACACCTGACCTGAGGCCATGGCAACCTCACAACTACACGCTAAACCCTCAATCCAAAAGACATCCCATACCCTAAGATAGGGGCCTTAATAATTAGAATAGGGTTTT